ATTCTACGACGTTTCGTAATTCTTTATCACTAAAAATTAACACTCGTTTTGACGCACTCCGTTCTGTTGTGTGTGTGTCTGCTGTTGAAAACAACCTTCCTAATTTTGTGACTGGCTATGATGACTGAGCTGGACCATGTTGACTTATTAATAATATTTTGTTTGTGATGGAAAAAAGGAGTCAATTTCCCAAAAATGCTCCATCAGCAAATAGGTTAGTGTGCGCTGTGGACAGTATGGCTATGTAATTTACTAACCACACAGTCCAGAATCAGGTGATAAAGTCGCAAAACTTTAGCTGCATTTGGTGGATTAATTCGCAAAACTTTAGCTTCATTTAGTGGCGCCATTTACTCTAGGTAGATGGCGACTACGGGCCTGCGATGCAAAATATATCTCCATGATGAATGTGTGTGGACAGAGAGAACTGTAATGCTTTCAGACTGGTATTTCCATTAGCGTTTTAAGATTAATGCTTTAAATACTTCCCGATAATTTAAGTGTGTTTTTATCTTAATGAAAGAATGAACTCTCAAGAAAATTAGGCTGCTTCCTCTTCCTGCCGTCGGACTTTTAACGTGTTGCTGTTCCGATAAATGCTGTAACTAGAATATGGAAGAGGGAATTGTGAATAATACAGACTTCACTTCGATTTGTGTGTTTCCTAAAACTTTGTCAATAATTCCTCATGGTTTGATAACACTGTGTATTGTTACAGGAAATATATTCGTAATTGTTTCTGTCTACAGTATCCGATCGTTGCACAAACCGTGGTACATAATACTAGCCAGTATGGCAATTTTAGATTTTTAAACTGGTGCACTTGGTATCGTTACTTGTCTTCAACTTGCTTTTTATGGACGCTTTTTTTTACCTCGGAGACTCATCTGGTTGGCTCCTTCAGAAACTGACAGTATCAACTGCGAGTTCGTCTCTTTTTCACCATCTGATTTTAGTGGGAGAGAGATATTTTGCCATCATGTATCCATATATATACATTGTAAAAGTTTACAATCGATCGGTAGTATTATTTTTAATTGCTAGTTGGACAATAGGACTTCTATGGATAGCTATTATTCTCTCACCGTTGTACAATGAGGATGTGTATAATGAGGTGCATTACGTAGGCATGATTATGATAGCGCTTCCAACTTACGCCTGCCATCTGCGTATATACTTTGAAGCAAAGAAAATGGCTCGTCGGGTGTCGTCCTCATCCAGTCGGGCAGTACAGCCCAAAAGAAGCGACTTCAAGGCAGCGCGGGTTACTTCAATAATACTTGGTGTTTTTAGTATGTGTGTACTGCCTTTAATTATATACAGCATTGTTTTCAACGAAGACGAAAGCAGTCGATGCAGACTCATATTTTTTGTTTCTTGTGTATTGTCATACATTGATTCTATGTTAAACCCAATTGTATATGGTGTTTCGAACCAGTCTTTTCGTGAATCTTATACAAATATATATGGAGAAAGTGCTGACTAGCGTTGGCGTCATGATTGGCCTGACGGGGTTTCGATGTCAACGACTGTAAAGGACAATGGCCCCGACATGAGACTGAGTGGGGTGGTGGCGTCGTTAAAAAACTCTCGGAAATGGTCCAGGGGACAAAGCTATGACAAGTTAGGGGTTTCAAAGACTTATTTAATCGATCTTAGAGTCAGCTAATATGTAGAAATTACAGATGGACCTAATTTATTTTACCGGGGGGGGGGTAGCTCTCCCCGACCTCATCGGCCCCCTACTGGCGCCACCCTTGATGCTAACGTATCCTCTCCGATTGATTTTAGCATTTTAAATTGTGCACCGCATACTTGCCTATGTTTACAGGGCTTTTCTCTTCAATTCAAATTTAATTCATATTTCATTTTCGGATGAACATTAGGTATAAGTAGGCCTACATAACATAAAAAGTGGAAAACTGGCATCATTTGATTGTCAAAATACCTATCACGTGACTTTCCAAACACAATCCACACACAATATAATAAGCTCTATAAAAACGTAACAAGTAATTAATATATTCAACTGTCAAGACACTCTACCAAATTTTCTATTGACAAAATTATGCATAGTTAAGAAATAAAGCTAAAGCTAATAATAAAAAAAACTGTAGACCTATTTTAAATCCTTATTAAGTAATTATAGATCCGTTGTTTTGTGATTTGAACAGAAGAAAAGAAAACCTTCCTAAAACGAACTTTACATAAATGTTTACATGTGGACCACGTGAGTATAGGCGGTATGTTTCCCAGCAACCACCAAACGTTAATATAACGTTCGCGAACTCTGGTTAGGTACGTCAGAAAATGAAGTTAATACAACGTTGCAGTAACGTTGCAACGTTATTTAGTCGTGAAATTACGTTATAGACAGGAGTTTATGGTTTACCAAAAAGAAAACGTATGTACACTATAATTTAGTATATATGTATATATACGTGTATATAAATTAAAAACGCGAAGTTTAACAGTAGCTTCGATGAGAATTGTATTACTACATAGCATCCAAACAACTCAAAGACGACTTCAGAATTATCCAAAAGAATATACCTGACAATGTAGCTTTCAATAATTCCAACTGTCAAGACGCTAACAAGTTTTCTATTGATAAAATTAGGCCTAGTTAAGAAATGAAACTTACGCTAAAAAAAAAATCAGTATTTTCTCCTAATCATATAAAGTAGATCCGTTGTTTTGTGATTTGAACAGAAAAAAAGAAAATTTACATAACTTTACATAACATGTGGTCCACGCGCTTCGTATATTTCCCAGCAACAACAAAACGTTATTTTAACGTTCACAAACGAATTAACACTAAACACTTGTATAAATATTTAAAAAAAAGCGAGGTTCAACAGTAGCTTCGATTGGACATTTTATTACTACCTGTTTTTTTCTACACTCATAGCTGTCTCTTATACACATCTAGATGTGTATAAGAGACAGTTACTAGACAGTATAATATATTTAACCTGTACTTTTCTTAAACTTTTTCTTCATGCATTTTACAGTGTTAATGGCTATCTTAAATTTTATATATAGGAATGAAAAATTATCAATACAGTATTTGCAAGCTTATGCACAAATACCACAAGTGTTTAACCTATCAAAACATTACCTCTAGTAGGTGACATAGCTGTGAATAAATTAAAGATCAAAGTATTACCCTAATCAAAGCTGCCTACAAAAACAAAGAAAGCTCTTTTGAAGCTTTAGGCCAATTGTTAAGCAATGGGTGTAGCCACATAGCAAACGCTTTTAAAAAAAAATAGGATATACCAGTTTTTGGAACTATCAATAATGTTAGTATTAGAAAATATTAAACCTAATGTATTACTTACATTACAGA